GACGCCTCAAGCCGTGCAAGCCCATACTTAAGTCCAGGCCTAGACGTAAGGCCCGCGCTAGGAGTCCGTCCTCTAAGATATCCGCGTTCCCGCCATTTTCTCTGCCAGCACACAGGCCTGCCGTTTGCAGGGATGGCCCTGCCGTAACTGGGGCCATTCCACAGGCTGGAGCTTCCGGAACAGCTGCAGCAGGGACATCAAGTCCTAAGTTGGTCTGGCCACGGGTAGCTTCCGTGGCGCCAGCACCATGATCAGAGCGCACTGACGGTGACAACGCAATAGGGTGCCCGGCCGTTGTTCTGCGGACCACGCGGAAAGCACCGGTGGCATGATCGCTGCCGTCGTCCGAGTCTGCCACTCCCGGATGATCGTCCGCCCCATTAGACAAGTTCCCCCCGCCTTCGCGCTCTGCAGGCCCCGGCGGAGATGCCTGACTGCCAACTCCGAAGGCCGCAGGGCCGGCCTTTGCTGGAAAAGCTGACGGGCTTGCCTCTTTAGCTATGAGGCCCTTAGCATACCCTAGAATGGTATGCACGAGGTCTGGCCGGCTGCGCACAATTTGCTCGAGCTGCGAAACTTCGTTTAGGAGACCCTGGCTATCAGACAAGTCCTGAAGCAAGTCATGTGCACAAATTTGCAGTTGGAGCGCATGGCGCTGGAGCTGTTCAAAAAATTTCATTTTGCCTAGGAAGCATCCCCACAGTGGGGGTGCAAACGGTGGTCAAGCCATCGGAGTTTGTAGGAATACAAGTTTCTAACATCTATTAATAAGTCGGATACACACATTTGCCTTGTCGGTTTCCTATGGGACGATACTGTATGCGCTCCCGGCGGATGGTGAGCACAGCACGACCGCATCATGGCACACAAAGCAACTTCATCCCTGTGACCGATTTACAACGTTCGTTGCCGCTTTACTCTGGCATAATCATAATTTGTTTGCAATTGTCCGCGGCGCTCAGTTCAGCTTTCACATAGCACTGAACATACGTAACAACACATCATGTAACCTCAGCCTAACCCTTTTGCGTGCATGTGATCCTGATACCTATGCTTCTCTGTCACATGCATTATATTCTCCTATGCAAGGAGAATGCGTTAGCTGCAGTCGTAGTTGCGCTTCTTTTATCCATGGCGTGTTGGGTGTTCATATGGCCAGCATCACATTGGTGGGTGTTGCAGAAGTGACGAGACTCAAATGCGTATGTGAAACATTTTGCATATCAACAGGCTTCGGTTGCGCGCTGCCCGCCCTCGATTGACTTGAAACCCACACGCAACCCGCTACAGGGTCGGCTTATGGCCCGCATATGATGCTTTGCTGGAGCGCGTCGTGGCACAGCCAGGCACAGCCACACCCTTTGACGTTTTTTCAAAATACGCTCAGCACCCTGCCGTAAAGTTGACCCACATAATTCCATCTGGCGTCTGGTCACTTTGCGGTGCTCTGCAGCTATTCCCCCAGATCCGCTCCCAAATGCCTCGCCTGCATCGCCTCTCCGGCCGGCTGATGCTCATTTGCTCGCTGCTTATAGTCATGGGCTACGCTTTGATGGAAGCGCGAGGCCTAGTAACCTTACCAAAGCCACCACCGCGCTCCGAAACCAAACCCGGGGTCTACGGTGGCACAACCTTCCTGGCTCTGCGGCTTCTGAGCATGTGGTTCCTCACAACAGCCGGAATGGCACTTATGAAAGCACGACAAGGCCGATACCTCGCGCATAGGCGCTGGGCGCTGCGGCACGTCGCTGCAGGCGGTTGGGTGATTGTGCAGCGTCTCTTTGTAATATGCATCGCCGCATGGGCTTCGGCAACCCAGATCGCCTTTACGGAAGCCCAGCGGCATAAGTTGTTTTTCGGAGCGGCCTCAGCGGCTATCCTGGTCTGCATAGCTTTGTCAGAGCTTTGTCTCTGGGTGGGAGCCGCTGGCAGTGGCGGCGCCGGCGGCAGCTTCCGCCCTGGCAGCCTTGGCGGCGGCAGCCGTACAGCTTGTACGACTGCGTCCGTGTTTCGCCGGGTGTCTACTGCTGGTGGAATAGCGGGCAGTGGCGATAAGTTGGACTGAGCACTTGCTTTGCACCTTATGCAAAGTGTTGAGGCGTACACAGTTGTACCGTGGCAGCCGTACTTTTCTCCCGCTGTTAGCGCGGAGTAAATAGCGCAGCTGGGGGCCTCAGATGGAAGGTGGTGTGTTGATTGGCGGATTCAACGCTGGTAAGTTGGATGTGGCAGGAATGAATTACAGGTGTGAATTACTTGATACTTTTGGGAAACAGCAAGGCCGAGGAGCCGACAGGAAAAACGCATTAGTATGAAGCGATGCTATTATTGGTTCTAATTCATCCCATCATTGAGTCAGGCGGCGGCGGCGGGAACTATCTCGACTCAGTGCTTTGGGGTGCAGAAAGGGTGGTGGTGTAGGCGGTGTCCCGGCTCGCTTCATCGCCGTCATTTGGTCGCCCTTTTGGGCATCGGAGGGACTATGCGACCTGCAGTATAGTCAAGCTTAATCTCTCCCAGCCAGGAAACATCCTGTTGCCGCGAAACTCAATTTTCTTTCCGGGCTGTATTGTATGTACCGCTTGCATTATTGCATTTTACAGCGCAAACAGCGCTCGGGGAAATGGATGATTCAAGGAATGTGTGACATCCGTGGCGTCTAACGCTTTTTGCTTGGGGGCAACACGAATTAATTTGGTTTTGCACATGGCTGTGGGCGGGATGGCAAGCTAATGGCTCCTCATCGCGAGGTGCGACGTCGATCTCGCTGCGGCTTCCCGGGCGTCCAGCAGAACTGCGGGCGGCCAGGAAAGAAGACAATGCCGTCATTGCCGTGCAGACGACGGCGGTTGATGACGCCGTCCGATGGTCACAGCCAAGTTTTCGAAGCAGCTAAAAAAACACGCTGCAATAATAAGATCGCAGACGTTGCCTATATATATGTTGTGCACCGTCGCAATTCCTTCTTGGTGCAGAACTTCCTTAAAACGCCGCTACGATACTCCTTTCCACTTCGGAATTCCCGAAAGCCCGCGCGCCTGTAAGGCGCCCGGCTAATACAAAGCCGTCCCAAACGTATCCCTGATCAGCTATCCAGGGTGCACCGCTTGAATCCAATCGGTGCTGCCTGCGCGCCTGGCATAGTTTCCGCTTTTGTGAACTTTGTGAGAGCTGCCCACACTTGCCAACTAACCATCGACCCATGGCGACGATGCTGGAGCACACGGGGCATGTCCTAAATGGCGACGAGCTGAAAAAGTCGCCAATTATGGTGAGCGGGCGGATGGGAAATGGGCGCCCCATCATCTCGAAAAGAAGTACCTGCTGATTGACCGACCTAGCATGACGATCGAAAACGCATGGCGTGGGTGAGCGGGCAGTGCTACAGCAGAGCTAAACTTTTCTCGTTGTTAGGCGTCGACAAACCACAAGTATGGCTGCTTTCGTGGCTCGAGAGAAAAAGCCATTTCTCACATGGCGGGGTGGCATGAAGTGTTGACTATGATGACCGACACTCATATACCAAGGAATGGTAGCAGCAGTAATAGGACCCGCCGGGGGTCCGTGGCGCTTTGCTGGCCTTAACATGAAGGGCATGCGTGCTGAACGCGGCGCGATCAAGACACGACCTTACACAAAATCTAACAAAGGCTGGCCCACGCCAGCACGTTCCTTAGCTAGCGAAAATTAGCAGGGGTACAGCAAAAAAATGCTTTTCGCAGCGGCAACGTGCACGGATTGCACATTGCGCCCGGGGCCGCTCATCGCGCTCTCCCGTTTTCGCTTCACCCACGGAAAGGGTGGAGGCCTCGTGGCGACCAAGTAAATGGGACGAGTCCTGCATGTGCACGTCTGTAGAGCCTTGCCGTTGGAAGATTTGGTAGTGATGGCTTGGAGATGCTAGCTGAAGATGCTACGACCACCGTCGATCGTAAATATTTTATGGATGCTATTAATATCTCAGCAATTATCATTTTTGTCAAGAGTAGTCCGTTCCGGGAGCTTTGCAATCGCTGGCAGCAGCAACAGCAGCAGCAGTAGCAGCACCGTAAAACTCCCGTGTCTTCCGCCACAATGCTGTGTCCTAGCGCCCCAACGACATTGCTCTTTCTTTTTAAATTATGATTTCAATCCCGCGGACATTTAAATGTTATTGATGTGACAATGTACCATTACAGTAATGTACTTGATTCATTAAGGATTGCCGATAATTATCTCGATGCAAACGGTTTCCAAATTACCTTTCGGATCCGCTGTGACATTACTCGCACACACTAGGAATCTCGAGAAAATTCGCACTCAGTCACGCACTCCGCCCCTCCGCTACCGCCCACCTCCCCCCTCCGCCGCAACCGCCCCATCGCTGCTACTGCCGCTCCCTAGGCCGACATTCACAAGTCTACAGCCGGGGAGCATAAGGCCCCGCAGACAACATCCCCGGAGATCGTGTCAGCTCGCCCCGGGGAGAAGGTCGCAGCCCCCGCGGGCGCCACCTCCGAGGTACGACACATTTGTACGGCAACTTAAAGCTACACGTGCCTTGCTAACATTACATTTTTGTCGCCGTAAGATAAGGGAGTCTGTGTCCAGTTCAGCGGAAGCATGGTAGATGGCATTGGATGAGCGACTGGCGGGGAGACACGTTGCAGAGGAAGTGGAAGTTGTAATTACGACGCATGGCAGCGATTGTGATTTTAAGAGATTCGAGTAATAAATTGTACAGGAAAAGAATTCTGAGTGGTAAAATCTCGCTGTGGTGAACAGGAGGACTGAAAAACTCTTTTAGAGCTCGTGGCTCCTTAGGAAAAGAATTTGGCTTCTCTCATCGTCGGATTCTTGATGTCCAAAATTTTGCGGTTTTTTTATTTTTTCTCTGTGTACGGAAGCCGTATGGCAACAGTACGGAAGCCGTACGGCAACAGTATGGAAGCCGTACGGCAACAGTATGCGCAGCCCACTAAGCAACATCTCTTGTTTCCCACCCCCACCCGGTTTTCCAGATGCCTGTGTCTGGTATCCCTGAGTACCCCGTCACCCTGGAGCACAGCCCCCCCGCCGATCTGGACAAGTACATCCCCAATCCCGGTGAGCAGCTGTGGGCGGAGTGTACGTGTGTGCGTGTGTGTGTATGTGTATGTGTGTCTCATCATCATCATCATCATGATAATCATCATCATCATCGTCAAATAATATGATTTTTCTTCATGTCCCATCACCGCCATTTCCACCCCGACCCCTTCCCCCCCTTCCCCCCCCTTCCGCCCCCCGGGGAGCTGCAGGTATGCCCCGGGCCAACAAGGCGGTCAGTCGGGAGAAGCCGGACGGAGACCCCAGGTCCCCGACGAACCGCACGGTGCTGCAGCAGCACGTCATGTTCTGGGACAGGTGGGTGCGGACACGGGAGGGAGGGAGGGGGGGGGGAGCAGGTAGAGGCAGGGGGGCCGGAAGCGGGGAAAGTGAGTGGGTGTGGTGTGTGGTGTGTGGTGTGTGGTGTGTGGTGTGTGGTGTGTGGTGTGTGGTGTGTGGTGTGTGGTGTGTGGTGTGTGGTGTGTGGTTTGTGGGATTGTTGACAGGTGACTGATGACCGGTTCAACGAGGCCAAGGGGTACCGGAAAGGATTGCGCAGTTGTATGATGTTGCTTGATGGTGTTGGTGTTGCTGGTCGCCTTGTCCCGGGGACCCGCACCTGTTCTCCTGCGGTTGCTGTTGGTGTGTGGGAGGGGGGGTAGTTAATTC